TAACAGATGTCTATAAGCATACAACAACTCAACGGCTTTAGATGGTGTGAGCCCTTCTAACTTTTATAACTTCTAAAATATAAGCCTACTGCTCTAGATGTAAAGAAAACGACTTTTAGTTTTTGTACTAGTTGGTTTTTTGTTAGCTTGACACAAACCTAGACATATCTGGGAGGAAGAAACCACAACTGAGACAATGACTCCAGCAGAATGTACTGTAGGCAAGCCTGCAGGACATCTTAACTAGTGACTGAGGTAGCCCACTGCAGGCAATACCGCCCCAGGCAAGTGGTCCTGGGCCATATAAGAAAGCAGGCTGAACAAATATGAGTGACAAAGACAGTGAGCAGTGCTCCTCTAAGTCTTCTGCTTCAGTTCCTGCCTGTAGGTGCCTGTGGCTTCCTGCCTCCAGTTCCTGCCCTGACTTCCCTTCACTATAGACCTGTGATCTGGACATATAAGCTGAAATAAACCCTTCCTCCCCATACTGCCTTTGGTCATAGTGTTTTATCACAGTATCAGAAACCCTAAGTCAGCTTCTCAGGGTATAAAGCAAGTATCTGATAAACCGGGACATTAGCTGATGAAACCAGAGTAACCACAAAAAATAATAGGAGTCTGCAAAAATTCTATGGATTTAGATGAATGTTGGGAAGAGAACAGCCTGTATTTTCCATAAAATCTACTAGATATTTAACATTTCTCAATTATGAATATAAGCCAACAGTCACAGTTGTATTGGATTTTCCATGCTCACCACCTAAGCTTCTACTGAGAGATTAAAAAAACAGAGTGGAAGAACAATTTTGGTTGGCGTTTAAAATTTTGTAAAATGAGTAAAAGACAGTACACTGAGAGCAAAATGGCACATGAAGACAGAGGGAATTGCCCATTTAATTATCTGAAAGGGAATGACCCAAATACACTGTCAAATCATTATAATTTGCTATGAACCTAATGACGGTCATAAGTCTTTCCTCAAAACTTAATTAATGCTTCAATTATTTTTCGAACTCTATTGACTTCTATCTTATAAAGTCTACAGTGAATGCAGTAACCAATGCCTTACATTTATATGGTGCTTCGCAACTTTACCAAGTAATTTCACACATAGTATTTGAACCTAATCACATTCCTTCCAATTAGCCTGGCAATTACTCAGGTTATAGAGTACATATTCTAAAGGAATAAGAAACACATCTTAAAATAGGAGCGGTGACTCATTCATACCTATAATCCCAAGCACTCAGCAAACTGAGGCAGGAGGATTGCTATGCATTTGAGGCCAGGATGGGTTACCTAGTGAATTTCAGGACACCCTGACCTCCAGATTGTGGTTAGGTGTTTATTTGTTTACAAATATATATGCATACATTTGTGTGTATATACATTTATAAAAGGATAATAAAGAAAAAGACATGAATTTGGAGAGGGGGAGTAGAAGAGGGAGAAATGATGTAAATATGGTAAATACATGAAAGTTTAAAATATATTTTAGTAAGCTTAACATTAAATCTTAACATTAAATCGGTTTAATAATTAAATAAGTTATCTCAACAATAAATCAGCTTTTCTCTTTTGTATCATGCAAAAACACGAAAAGTAAAACCCTTCAAAATCCAGGAGGGCTAAGCTCAGACCTCAAGTAGAAACAACATCTTCAAATTAAAATCTTTCAATCTCTACATTACATGAGCCACTCCACCATCTCCCGGAGCTGCACTTGGCAATGTTAATCATTTTCATTATGAGGATTCAGCAATCAAGAAAACTGACTCTTGCAGGGAGGTGGTGGTGGTGCCTTTAATTCCAGCACTTGGGAAACAGAAGCAGATGGATATCTGTGAGTTCAAGGCCACCTTGGTCTACAAAGCAAGTTCCAGGACAGCCAGGACTACACAGAGAAACTCTGTCTGGAAAAAAAAACAAAAACAAAAACAAAAAAAAAGAGGAAGTTGACTCTTAACCTAAAACTCCAGAGAGCTAGCGCCACAGGCTACAGAACTCTCACATCCTTGTAGGAGTTGCTGAGGCTCTATAGTTGTAACGGATTTTGAGAAAACTAGTATAGTCAAGGTCAGAACTCAGGATCATAACTTTTCATCCATCTCTAAAACTTTCAAAATCTCAAATTTTCAAATTATTAAACACTACGGTCAGAGTGAACCTGGCACGAGGCTGGCAAGGTGGCTCCATGCTGGTCACCACACGTGACCTGAGTTCGAGTCCCAGAACCCACATGGTGGAAGGACAGAACAGACTCCGGCAAGCTATGCTCTGGCCTCCACTGCACCGCAGCATGTGTGCCCCACCCCCAACACACATGAACACTAAAATAAATAAATGTAAAAAAAAAAATTAAGTTCACACAATGGGGCCAGGGAGATGGTTAAACAGGTAAATGTACTTATTTGTTAGGCGACCTGAGTTCAATCCCAAAACCCACAAGAAAAGAAAAAAAGCCAGATGCAGGGACAAGAGAGATGGCTCTACAGTTAAGAGAGCTTCCTGCTCCTGCAGAGGACCCAGGTTTATTTCCCAGCTTCAACTTCTGTAACCCCAGCTCCAGGGGATCCTATGCTCTCTGGTCTCCTCAGGAACCTGCAGGCCCATGGTGCATATAAACTCAAGCAGGCACATGCAAGCCTTTGAAAATATGTAAATATATTGTTTCAAAGCCGGATGTAGTGGGAGCACAATAGGAATGAGACCCTACCTCAAAAACAAAGTGGAAAAAGGAAAAAAACAAAAACAAATGAACAAAAATAAATAAATAAACCAACCACAAGCTCACCTGAGCTCCTACCTGAACTTTACAACATCTAAAGCTGATATTCTCTCACAAGTCTGGAAACATACAGCCCAGCCTTTACATTTCTGAGAGCCGAAGGGGAAGTGAATAACAGGATGTTGACTTCAGTCACAGGGGGACAACACCAGACAGGGATGCTGGCTATGAGCAAGAGAAGCAACTTTCCACCCCAAGGGCTTGTTATGACTTACTCTTGGTTGACCAGGTCCTCATCCTCTGAGGATGATGCTGTTTCCTCCAGGTCCCGGGCCATCACAACGGGCATTTCCTTTAGGGTTTGTCATGCAGTCAACAGGCAGAGGCCTCAGAGACCTTTCTTCCTTGCAGTTTCACTGGATCAGACAATTTGGATAGCACAGACTCCTGCGAGAAAGTCAGAGGATTTCAAATACAATGCAGGGAGGCACTTCAGGATTTTGGGCACAATCTTTAAAAACAAATGAAAAGGAATATATTCCTAAATATTATCCAAACTCTAGAGGCTCACCTTCTGCCACTGTGCCCCTCAAATGCCATAAAAACCAAAATTATTTTTTATTTTCTTTTGGTTTTTTTGAGACAGGGTTTCTCTGAGTAGCCCTAGCTCTCCTGGAACTCAATCTGGAGAACAGGTTGGCCTCAAACTCTGAGCTCTACCTGCCCCCCCACCACCACCACCCCTTAGTGCTGGGATTAAAGGCATGTACCACCACATCCAGCTTAAGATTTTTTTCAAGCACAGTGTCTCTGCTGTATCTAAAAGCTATTACTAAATTTGAGTTCCTCACTTTTCATATATGGCAAATGTAGCATGCACCAAAATGGACAGCTTTAGGGCACTCTGACATGGATAGCTGGCTGCCTAAATGTAGACAAGTCTTTGCTAGACGAATCCGAAGAAGATCAAAACAAAAATTCAAGGTCCACAACACTTGTGACTATTCATACAGACTCTGCCACAAGCAAACAAACATGGCGCTATGTTTCCAGGAAAACCAATTCAACTTAACTTTTAATAAAAGTGTAAAGAAAATGTTTCCTCTCACCAGGAATGACAAACAGCTGGGGAGTAGGGAGCCAAACACTCTTAATAATTATTCTGTTACTAAAAAAAAAAAATTACACATTTTAATTCAAACCTAAAGTAGACATTAAAAATAGGACATTTTCAACTCTGCATTTTTAACTTCAAACTTTCTATGGAGGAAAAGTTCATGTTCGCTGTTTTAGAAGAAATAGAAACACATAGGAAAAACGCTCGTTACTCAGAGATAATCTATTTGGGGCAATTTTCCAAACTTTTGCTTGTCTATGCAGACACAAGACCAAGCAAACGAAACAACTGCAGCAGGCGGCAATAGCTACACATCTTCAGCAGAAATCGGCAGCATCTGACAACCTCAATGATTCTTTTCGGATGATTCCTAAAGGGATTTCTCGATCTTTCCCAAAATGCTTAAGCGTCTTTTAAGTTAAACTAAAACCTCCAAGCAAGAAGGATGCCCACCTTCCCTTGGCTCCTTGACGAGAAAGACAGACAGGGTGCTCTGACGATTAGAGACACTATGCCCAAGGAAGTCCTTGTCCCTCCGGGGATCTACCGCCGGCTCCACCTCAGCTCACCCCAACCCTAGGCAGCTCCGCAGGTGCTACGCTGGCAAGGACGCAGCTACTGTGCCGCAGCGCTTCTGCCCAGCACGCCCGGAAGCCAACAGCTGCTCCGGGGCTCGGAGGGAAGCGCAGCAGCGCCCACCCAGTCTCGGGGCGTACCTCCCCGGAGCGCACCCAGCAGGCGTTTACCTGTCTCATCTTCTCAAAGCTCGGGGCTGGCAGGCGGGGATCGCGGTCTGCTTCACCTCTCTCCTCCTTCCCCAGTCGGAATCAACGCAGCCGCCGAAGGCTGCTTCCCCCGTTACTACAACAACCAACAAGCAACCGCCCGCTCGGAGCCACTGCGCAGGCGCCTGCCAGCGGCGCGAACAACGCTCGACTGCGGGCGCGGACGGAATGCGTCATCACGGCGCGCCCGGGCGCCGGCGTAGAGCCAGGCTATCTCCAGAAGGATTTCTTGGCTCCTCTACTTTTCGCGTTTTCCCCACCCCTAAAAGGCTGACTCCTAACCCAGAGTTCCGCCGCGCTCGACAGAAGGGTTTACCGCGTGAGCGGCGCAGCGGGGAGAGGCTTAGGCGTACGCAACTGCTGATTGGCAGCAAAGGGGTTTACTCCCTATCGCCTGCTCTAACTGAACGAGCCCAGCCAATCGGAGCGAGGACTGACAGGAACGACCCAATCCTAGAGCTGGACTGAGGTTGGGGCGGGGACAGTGGCCCGAGTGGACTTGGGACTGGCGCTGTCCTGGGGGAGCTGGGTTGTGGATGCTGCTGGTTCTCGTGCTGCAGTACTGGGTCGTCAGGTAGGAGAATTTGGAATGGGATGTAGGTATTCGTTTTGCATACGAATGAGTCTATCTGAAGAATTTAGGAAAGTGGGGGTTGCCTGGAAAGCTACCTTTTGGGAGGGGAAGGAATCTAGAAACGATGTCCAAGGGGGTACTAGGAAAATGGAGAGCGTTTGCTAAATTCTGGGACGGGTGAATGAACGAGCAGTCACTTTGAACCTAGCTCTGTGCAGGGAGCTTTCTCGTTTTCTCGTGTAATTCTCCAGTAACCCTTGAGATAAATGTTTATATCCCCAATTTACGGGTGAGAAAACTGGGGCTGTGGAGTCTCAGTGACTTGCCTGAGACCCCAGAGCTGAGTAGTGGAGCTAGGATAGGAATCCCTCTTTCCTGATTGCTAATTAGCAGTGCATCAACGCTGAACTGGGTCTGGACAAAATTTGGAAATTGATACTGTAAACCCCGCCCCTCCCATCACCTCAAAACTCCAGGGAAATGGATTTGAGGAATTGGTAGAGCAATACGGAAATACACTGGTTGTGTCTTCATCAGCTCTCTACTGAGATTTCTAAGATCTGTAGAATGGAAGGCATACAGTCTACGTTCTATTGAAAGGGAGTATGTGTGAAGGTGCAGCTTTTTTAACTAAGTCAAATTGAGTCTGCTGTTGACAAAATAAAGAGAAGTGGATCTTGGCCTAGGCTGTGAATGTCTGTGAGGGCCAGAGACTCGATAGACTGGGAAAGTCTGTGTTTGGGGCCTCTGTTTCCCCTGGATTCACCATTTTTCTTCTGACGCCCTGTTTAGATGGATTTTGGTCACTTCACTTTACTATCAGTGCTGGGTAGTGTGGAAACATACGGAAACATACTACCACAGTGATAAAGGCAGCCTGATAGTTTCTTACAGCTTTCAGGACAAAGAAGTTAGCCTGACAACAGATCGATGAAGGGCCAAAATTATGATGATCGTGATAAATTTATCTCTGTGGGATTCATTTAGATCAAACTGATAGAAATCACTACTCAACAAGGCTTGATCTAAAAAAAGGTTATAGAAACTCGCTCTTCTACCATCTGAAGACAACAGCGTTTCTGGTGTGTTTAGCTTCCTCAAAAACAATGGGAACTTGGCTGTGCATAGTGGTACACGTCTTTAGTTCCAGCACTCAGGAGAAAGAGGCGGATGAATCTCTGTGAGTTCAAGGCCAGCCTGGTCTATATAATGAGTTCCAGACCAGCCAGGGCTACATAGTAAAACCCTGTCTCAAAACAAGTAAATAAATATTTTTTTAAGATGGGAATTTCATCAAAATATTCGTCGGGAGGTAGTATTTACACAGAGTCATTTCAACAGGCCATGACACTCTGCCATGTATTAGCTATGTGACCTAAGCAAATCACTTAGCTACTAGTTCTGAGCTCCATTTGTAAAATGGAAATACTAGTAGTGCCTGCCTATGGTGATATAGGTAGTGAGTGAAATACAATGTTAGATACATGGGGCAAGTATAGGGCACCAGTTCCCCCTAACTGATAACTAGTGTAGTTTTTCTTGCAGCCCAACACCAAGCCAAGGAAGTTTGTTTTTTAAAAAAAAAAAAAAAAAACTTTTTAGATTGTTTTAGTTTATGTAACACTATGTATCTGGGAACCAAGCAGAGGAAAACTAAGAATACCAGTTGGTCAACCACACCATAGCTTCCACTCAAATAGACAGTAGAGCTTCTATAAGTTTGGAAGTATGTCATCAGTATCCAGGTATCTGAGTAGATTTAGAACCACCTTTGAGCCACTTGTATTGTAAAGAAATGGCATGAAGAGATGAAGACACAGTACTGATTCCAGGCAAGGGGATGGAATGCTGGCTCACAGCAGTACTGTGCTTTGGGGGATGACTTAATATCGTGCTGCGAAGTCACCGTTCACTCACCCTCACTACAGGGTCTGAGCACTGGTAGCAGCACAAGCTTCACCCAGAAACCCATTCTGTCACTTTATAGAGATATTCGTCTACCCCATTTCTTCTGCTCCCCTTCTTGCCATTTCTTTCCTGCTAGAATTCCCGCCCATTGCATTCTTTTCTAGCCTCGGTCACTCTGAACAGAGTTCAGCATTCCTCCCTGTAGGGCAGGTATTCCTAGGCATCATGTCAAGTGAAAGCGGTGTGGCAAGAAAACAGGGTTGCTCCAGAGGACGCGAGGAGGAGTCTGTGATGTGTTCCGCCAGTGTCCCTCGGACTAACTCTTGCGAGTGGGACCCAGAGTAACCCCAGAGGTGAGAAGCCGTGGTGGATGAGGAAGTACCTTCATTTTGTCCTCTTTGTTTCCAAGGCAGCGCACCCTCTCTGTGAGGGGAATCATGAGCCGCTTCCTGAACGTGTTACGAAGCTGGCTGGTTATGGTGTCCATCATAGCCATGGGGAACACGCTCCAGAGCTTCCGAGACCACACCTTTCTCTATGAGAAGCTCTACACTGGCAAGCCAAACCTTGGTAAGAAGTCAAAAGAACATGTCTATAATCCTAGCACCCAAGAGGATAGGGCAAGAAGATTGAGAGTTCAAAGCCAGACTGGTCAATTTGGTGAGATCCTATATCAAAAAGTAAATGCATTGTCGGGCATGGTGGCGCGCACCTTTAATCCCAGCGTTGGGAAGGCAGAAGCAGAACTCTGCAAATTCGAGGCCAACCTGGTCTATAAAGTGAGTTCCAGGACAGCCAGGGCTGTTACACAGAGAAACCTGTCTCAACCTCCTGCTCCCCCCCCAAAAAAATTAATTAATTAGAATAACAAAAAGAAAATAATGTAAAGAAATGTATTCTGTGTAGCACTGGCCTACCTGTTAATTCCCCAATTGGGCTATAGATCTGAACAAACCAGGCTACTTAGTCTATGAAAACACAGACACTTCTTTCCATCTCCAAATCTAATCATTCGATCCTGCCTGGGACTCTAGTTCTAGAAATATCCCGCTGGTTCTGTTGTCTAATCCAGTCTTGGTAGCCACTAGAGAAATAGAATGTGTGGGAAGCACTTGACCCCTTTTTCCCAGTTATCTCTGGACACCTCTTCATTCGGTTGACACTACCCTGGACAATGGATATGTTCAGATTCTCCTGCATAAAGACAAGCAAGGAAATAGAGTGACATATTGACTCTGGGGTGCTATTCGAAAGCCATAAATAGATGTTTTACTGTTTCTCAGTGCCCTCATCCGAAATCAGGGCACGCACACATGGCCCATCATCTGTGTAACAGGTAGACAGTTACCAAGCCAAGATTTTCCCAAACTGAGCTCTGGTCCAAGTGAATACTCCAAACCCCTCCAGATTGCTCTCTGAAAGTAAACCTTCCAGTCACAGTGACCTTTCCCAACTCACGAAGCTCTCCACTGCGTATCTGTTCTCTGCAGCTGGCACTTGGCGCCATTGGCACGGGGGTACTGGGAGCTGCAGCTCTGATTGACAGCAGCTCTGTCACACTTATAGCTAACCCAGATCCAGGCTCTGACCTACTCATTCCTCTGCAGCACGTAGGTAGGAATGAAATTAAGTAGGCTGAGGCTTACTTTGAACAAAGTTCAGATATAATGGGCGTCAAGGACCTGGGAATGTGAGCAGGAAGGACTCTTGCTGCTCAGTTGCTGTCCCGGGTGGTCGTGGAACTTGTATAGTTGCACATCACAGAATATTAGAAATTATCTGGAAGTGGAGAGGGCATCTTCTTGCTCAGAAAGAGAGAGAGAGCGAGCATGTGCACATGTATGTTGGCAGAACAGTGCTCTAGTGGCCCAGACATGTAAACTTCCACTTGATCCTTGTCAGGTTTTGAATATATCACACTAAAGGAATTTCTTCGGTCTTCATTAGAAAAGCCATGAACTTGGTTTCTAAAGAATGTGTGGCCAAATGGCTGACGTTACAAGTATTTTCTCATTACGCTCTAAAAGGTCCTTGGTGTGAATTTAGCAGAGTTATCTGCTTTTCCAAAGGCAAACGAATTTTTTAAGCCCAAGTGAAAGTTAATAAACTTCTCGGGTGTCAACTTTGTTCATTGATTCCCACCCCACCCCAAGTGCTGGGAGTCAAACCCAGGACGCCTTGCCTTATCCTGCATGCTGGGCAAGTGCTTAACAACTGAACTACTCCCAGATTTTTTTTTTAATAAGAAAAAAAATTTTCTGTAAGAGAGATCAGCAAAAGAACTGTGTTTTGCAGTTTGAACATTTGAAATCCACAGGGTGCTTCAGTTCCCTGGCTCTACAGTTAAGTTACGCAAGCAGGCTGTTTCTAGAAAGTACTCATGACTAGAGAATCTGATATAACTCATGAGGTGTCCAGAGTGTGGAGATTTTATAAAACTCCTTCAGGTGACACAGAAAGTGCCACTGTTACAGGGAAATGTGACTTGAATCTTCAAGGCAAGCTATTTAGTTCAGCCGTATCACGATCAAGCTACCAAGAGCAGAGACCCCAGAACCCCCAGTGAGATAGTATTTTTACACTTCTGTGTGCACAAGAAGCCATCCTGGTTTGTGCATCATCGCAACAGAGCAGATCCGAGACCTCTGGAAGCCCACGCCTTGAACACATCTATGCTGGTGTCTGGTCTCTAGCAGTCTACAAAGTCTGTCGGTCCTGCTAGGCATCTCTGTGTTCAGACCATCTCTGCAGCATTCCCTTCCAACTGTAGGCATCCGAAGTGAATGGAGCAGCACTCAGAATTCCTTCCATTCTGCTCCTCAGGGGCCCCCACAGGGAGGTCAGGCTGGGCTACCTTCTGTCTCACCAGGGAAGTAGACTAGCTTAGGGCAAAGCTCACTTCGGCCCTCCCCTTCTCACCACTCTCGTTCTTTACTACACAGTGAATGGCCTCCAAGCCCGGACCTTTGGGATCTGGACGCTGCTCTCGTCCGTGATTCGTTGCCTCTGTGCCATTGACATCCACAACAAAACGTATGTCAGGGGAAAGAAGGCCTTTGGCTTCCTGTTGTTGCCAGTCAGGCTCCACGCATGTGCACTGCCCTGCTGTTGGGACCTGTTAAGTCACTTTACGGCATTAGCATAGAGTATAGAGAATGAGAGTCCTGCCTCACCATTCCTTTAGGCCCTGAAATGCCTTTAGGCCTGACAGAGCATAGCAAATGACATTGCCTTTGACTAGTGGCCTGCATCGGACGTCTTGACTGGAACCACCTCTCTTCTATAGAACTAGAATGCTGTGCTCAGTTTAGTCTTGGAGTGTTGTTTTCAAAGTGCTGCTGGATCAAATGAAGGCCCTTGAGTACAGTCAATATATCCTCTAACCCTGAGCTACATCCCTAGTCCCATACATACGTTTTGTACAATCCTCATTAATCAGGAACGACCAGAAATCCATGAAAAGAGAGAAACTCACAAGTAAGCTGAAAGAGGCCCGTCCATGAAGAAGTCAGTCAGTATGGGAAACGTGTATGCTGCCTCTCCAAAGAGTAAGATGAAAATAAACAGAGGCAGGCCATCCTAGCCTCTTTTCTAGATGATGCCATACCCAGTCTTGGCCACTGGAGGGGGCTCAAGCTTTCTTCCCGGTAGTACTCACTATCTCGGTTGAAGCACCATTGCTCAATTCACTGGGTGAAGCTATCAAAGGGCCAACCTTACACTGAAATCTTTTTATCTTGTCCCTCCCCCTCAGCATCTGGGGAAGAGAGAAAGCAACAAGATTTATGGCTCCTCTCTGGTTTTTCCAGGAGCTTTCACCTACATGACCTTGCCTCAGTCTCTCAGCAGCCCCTGGGGAGAGAAGGTAGTGATTTTCATTACTGATTTTGTAATATAAATATTAAAAACTCAATTAACTTAAGCAGAGGGAGACCAACTCAAGTGGGATTTGAAGCAAAACTATTAGCCCTTTGATCTTTCCATCTTTATTTTTAATTTTTTTTTAAACTTGAAACTGGATTACATGTCCTAGATTGGACACATATTTTTAGAAGCAGTATGGTTTAGTGGAAACTGCCGGGGGTCAAGAATGAAAGCAAAGAAAACACATTCTGCTCTCAGTGTTGCCGGTAGCCGGGTTTGTTGTCTGCTCTCTCTGTACCATCTATAAAATGATAATAAGATAGCTGTTCTACCTCTCAGGGTGAATGAGAAGAAGGGAGGATGGGATAATCATTTTGAAGACCCAGGTATAAGGGCTGCAGCTTCTGTTTGCTGTGCACGGAGAGTGAACAGAAGTTCATTCTCACCCTCACCCCTCAGAGTTTTCCTGCCTCCAGCCCAGAGCAATTGCAAATGCTGAGTTAATGTTTCCAGTCACTTCAAGCTTAGGACTTTGATCCATTGCCCTCTGACATGCGGCCTGAGCTTATTCCCTCCCTAACCAGAAACACACACACACACAACATGCACCAGCATGGTAAAAGCCAATTTAAGACACTGGGTACTTTTGAAAAGGGGAGGGAGGAGAAGGCAGTTAGGGTATGCTAAGGGTGCACAGATGTTTCCATTTCTGTAATGTTTATTTCTTCGTAATATAAAAGTATCCACCTGGGGATCTAGCTCAGAGTCAGAGTGCTTGCCTGGCATTCATTAGTCCCTGAGTGTGATCCCCAGAACTGAAAAGAACCAAAAGTGTCAAAATGTGAAAACCGGTAGCTACGGCTGAGTCTTGCTCACACTGTGCTTCATTAGTTTACTTGGAGTGTGTCCTAATTTTTTTTTCATAGTTTACAAAAACAAAAAAAAACATACCTGAAATTCAGGTGGTCAGCCACCATCTCATTGTCAAAACCGAGGAGCAAGTTCTCTTCCTCTGGATTTGCTGTATGACCTCCCCAGACCAGATTTTAGGCCAAGACATAAACTAGCAAACATGTACTGCAAGAGCATCTGAGGGCCTCTTGCCACTTAAAACACTCATTTTCGGTTCCGTCACACAGCACTGGCTGGCTCGTGGCCAGACACCTGCTAGGGTAGGCTTCGGCTAGAGTCTGTCAGCTGGCACTGAGCACGTGAGTATGTTTGATCCAGAACTGCTGCACGGCCCAAGTCTACCATCCAGATTCTCTCATGGTGACTTCTCTCTACCTTGCTAAGTCATAAGGCCCACTGTGACTGCTTGGCCCATGCCTCAGAGGTCTCTAGTTTTGCCCCAGGAGAGTAGAACTTGATGTGATTAAATAGCCAGGTGTTTCTAAGCAATGTGTCACTTGTGTCCAGTCAGCCGACACCCTCTGCAATGCTGCACCAAACACATAGTCACTTTAGTTCCCATCTCTGTCCCTTACAGACTCTACCACATCACGCTGTGGACCTTCTTCCTCGCCCTGGGACACTTCCTCTCGGAGTTGTTCGTATTTGGAACAGCAGCTCCCACAGTTGGTGTGCTGGCACCCCTGATGGTGGCAAGTAAGCACCAAGCCACCCTAGACCCCCTGCGGTAGTGACCCCTGCGGCGGTGGGGCTGGTGCGGAGCACAGGTGTGTTGGACTTGTGGGGTGCAGTTTTTATAGCCACCGCTAATCTTCTCTCTGTGTTGAAGGTCTCTCCATCCTGGGTATGCTGGTTGGGCTCCGGTATCTAGAGGCAGAACCAGGATCCATACAGAAGAAGAGAAACTGAAACTGAGGCCAGCCTTGCCACCTCCAAAACATCATTGTTTTCCGCCTTGGCTGTCTTCATTCTTCATCCTATGTCCTTACATCATTTCTTTTCAACTGTGTCCTTAGTTCCTTCATCTAGGTTCAGCATCTTTAGCTTTTGGGGTTTGGGGTTTTTAATGTTTTTAAATATTTAAGATGTTCATACAGAAAACTTATGTAACATGTATATATAATTTAGAGTCATCTAAGAAATATTCTGTTACATTAATCAAAGTTAAGAAATCCTCAGAGCCGGACGGTGGTGGCGCACACCTTTAATCCCAGCACTTGGGAGGCAGAGGCAGGCAGATCTCTGTGAGTTCGAAACCAGCCTGGTCTACAAGAGCTAGTTCCAGGACAGGCTCCAAAACCACAGAGAAACCCTGTCTCGAAAAACCAAAAAAAAAAAAAGAAAAAAAGAAATCCTCAGAAGCCCCCCACACACGCCCATGTGCCCTCCCCTAGCTGGCTCCCTTTTCTGGTCTTTCACTTTTTCCGTTTATCGCCGTTCCTTGCTTTGACTTGTGTGGTGGGAACATGAGAACTGTGAACTCAAGCTGCTGCCTGCCCAGAGCAGCTGCGACCAAGGGCTGCTTCCAGGGATTGTCCACACATACGGGCTTCTTTCTGCTGCTGGACCCCAAGATTCTGACCATCCAAGGGACAGGCAGCTCTTCCGAGAAGGGCTGCCCTCCGTGTGAGCAGGACCAGGCTTCTCTTTTATCTACAGTTGGATAAAGGTTGAAAGAGTCTGGACTGTTTTTAGACCTTTCGGTCAGTTGTATTTGTGTAATGCATTTTATAATAAATAGAAAAACCTTCTATTCTGATCAGTCGTTGTACTTTGACCTTTCCTAAGGGCCTCTTACCCTCCATGAGCCCCAACACTGGAGCAGCTGAGCTTTCTGCGTCTTTCTGTCCACTGCAGAGAGTAGGGAGGGGTAGGGCGGCTCGAGGCCCTGGAAAGCCTGGCTGCCTCTAGCTCCTCATGGTCGCTTGCTTACTTGTGTTCTTGATGCCACATCTTCCCTTCTTCCTTCCTCACCTTCAGGATTCTACATCGACAGCGCAACAGTGATGGCCCTTTCCCATTCTCTTCCCAAAGAAGTAGATTCCTGAGCACAGATACCGAAGGTAGAATGAAGAAGCCTAGGAGGAACAGCCACGAGGGTGTAAGGAAGCAAGGTCAATGTCAATGCCTCCATGTGAACAGCACTTCTGAGCACTGCTCCAGAGTGGCCACCGACACTGTATATTCAGCAAGCTAGTCACTGTTTCAACAAACACGTATGAGCATTTTTCCATGTTAGATCCTCAGGATGGAGACATGAACAACATAGACAAGGCCACAGGCCTCACACAGTCAGGATAACAGGTTCCACGAAACAGCCAAGAGAACTTGAGACAGAATTCTGTAAGGAAGCAGGTGTTTGAATCAAGAGGCAGAGGGAGGAACTATTGTGGAATTATCTCTTTGTGCACTGTGAAGATGTGTCCCTTGGAATGGTTTAATAAAAAGCTAAATGGCCAATAGCTAGACAGGACTTTGGGAGCAGAGAGGATGCTGGGAAGAAGGAATGGAGAGCAAACAGCATAGGCATTACAAAGGAAAGGTAACTGAGCCTCATAAAAGGACACAGATTAGAACATAGGGGTTGATTTAAGTCATAAGAGCTAGTGAGACAAGTCTAAGCTAAGACCAAGCTTTCATAATAAGTCTCCATGTGGTTATTTGGGAACTGGCTGGCAGGACAGAAAAAGACTCACTACAAGGAAGACAATAGATAGATCCTAAACAGATTAGAAAGATCTTCCTGAACTGGAGGGCTTCAGCTGAGACTCAAATACCCGGAAGGTAGCTGTTGAGCATTTAGGGTAAAAGGAGCAGCAACCATTCAAGGAATGAGGTCAGTGAAGCTGCTTCGACCAAAGGGTAAATGCTTTGACCTTGAAAGGTGCAAGGTCAGAGGAAGGAAGTAGCTTGGGTAAGGAGGATGGCTGGTGGTCTTAGTTAAATACATAGGAAAGCTTGGGTAAGGGTAAGGAGGATGGCTGGTGGTCTTAATTAAATACATAGGAAAGTAGTTTAGAAGGAAAGCTTGCCTTAAGAGACTGAAGGGTAAAGATGGCTTGGCGTTGTAGCCCAAAAGAAGATGTCCTGGGGTGCGGTGGTGTTTGGTTGGGCCTCCAGCTCCCTTTTACTGCAATTCTCTCAGCTTTGCACAGCTCTGGCTTCCAATTCAGGCTGGCTTCATTTATATTGCCAAAAGAGAATGCGGTTCTGGACCTCGGATCCCCACGACACTGGAAATTATCTTCACCTGCTCACTGTTTTAAGAAGACAATTTAAGAGTCAGGCTCAGTCCCTTCCCTACGTCTAGTGAAGCCTGGTTTCTCCAGGTAAGACTTGATAAGAAAGAGTGCCCGAATGTCCCAGGTGTGGGGCACTTCTCAAGGCAAGAAACAGGCAGAAAAAGTGACAGCTGAGAACCTGGTAGCCGATGTAAAGTGAACAGGGTGGAGAAGAAAAGCAGGGAGGACAGTCCCTGAGAAAGTCACCAAGCTGCCAGTGCTGGAGCTACGCTGTGGACACCAGCCAGAGCAAGCTGGTGCGAGTCTGGGGTGATCAAACAAAACACTTCAGTTGCCCTTTGAGGCAGAGCCAAAGACAACAGTGGGCCTTTCTCCTAGGGAGGAGCACATTCCAGCATATACACAGTAGACACAGTAGAGGGAAAGTCAGGGTCACAGGTTGGCCACTGAGTTATGTCTTCTACGTAGGCGGTCAGGAACCTTTAAAGTCTGTTAAAAAAAAGTCCAACAGGATGTTACACCCTTGTCAACAAAGGACACAGATGTTCTGGCCCCAAGCCCTGCCCCTCACCCCCAGTCGTCCCCCAGACAGTCTCAAAAAAGTGCGATAACCTTGTGGGGACTGCCCAGAGCTGCCACTACCTTGCTAAATGACAAGGCAAACCACTTTGAAAATCTTTATTGCTTTAAAAAATATCTGGTATTATAAACAAGAATTACAAATTCTGTTTGTTTTTTTAAATAAGTGGATTGAGTAAACATGTCAATTTTGAACAGTTGAAAAAAGTACTCCTTTTTCTTGACAGAAAGTAAGGCACCTACCTCTCTCTTCCATCCCTAAACCTCCACCACACTGCTTTCCTCCCATCCACTGCTCAGGTCTACACACAATATACAAACACAAATGTATGTGCACACAAGTGAATCCCCTCTGGCCTGGCACCCCGATATTGCAGGCAATCTGGCTATTCTGGAATGCTAAGGCCATGGCCAAGGCCAGATGACGCAATGGTCTTGACCAGAATTGCTCAAGGCACAGGAGAAATTAGTTGCCAGTTTCTCTTGGAGGAGACACTACAAAAGCCATGACATTACCAGCAGACTGGGGGAGGAAGGAGGTCAACTGGGATTTACAAGGAGTCCTTCTCAATTTAAAATATCTGGCAGATTTTGCTAGCAGAGGCAGGGAGAGGGTTTGGTTGTGCAAATACTGTCCCAGACTTCCACAGGATTATGTTTACCTGAGACAGACACCATGTCTGTTTTAAGAGCCGCCTTCTGCCTCTTTCCTCAGAGACAGCCTTGGGTGTCAGAGTAGAGTCAATGAGACTAACTTTTAATAAAGGTTAGAGCCACGAGCCCCTGGGCTGATGGCAGCGTTTCCCAGTGCAATATCCAATAAAGACATTCTGAGTAGCCTGGGACACTGGAGTCCCTGGGCAAGCACCTCTTTTGTAGGAAAGCACCTTCCCATCCTAGCCCGGAGCCCCACACACACTCAAGGTAACCCCCAGCACTGTTGCAGGTAGGCAGGGAGCCCTCTCCAGTCATTTCTTACTTCAGGGGTACAAGAGAGGTTTTGTCTGGTTTATTGCTGTTTTGTCTTTGACTGCCAGGAAAGAAGGTGGGAAGAGACTGCAGTGTTTGGCCGGGAGGGCTGAGGTCAAGAGTCCTGATAGAGCTGCCTCTGTGGAATGCTGGGCTCTGACGGAGGCTGTACCATGGTGCTTCCTCATCATGACCCTCAGGCAGAGCAGCTTGCCCGTTCTCAGTAAGAACCGGGCTTCGTGTGGTTAAGTCTTAAGACATTAGAAAAAGTTAATCTCCTGAATAAGCTTTCTTAGGATAATTCTGGAAGTGTTCTCCGCGAGAGAAGGGATAAGAAAAGACAAGGGACCAAGCAAGGATCGACTCCAGCACCCTCCACCAGCCTCTCCCAATGCTAGCCCTGAGACCTAACAGGGAGAGGGGACCAGAATCCAGTCTGCATCTGGAGAGAGGTGAGGTTTCCCCTGAGTAAACCAGCCAGGTTCTCAGGTAGGGCCCAGTAGGCATAGGCACTGCCTTGCAAGTCGCAAATCTTCCAGCTGCTTCCTCTAGAAGCTCCTCCATGGAGATGTAGGTGCTGGCAGTCACAGCTCAAGGGGACCTAGAGGCGAGTGTGTCTGTTCCTGAGTCTCTGCCACCACTCTCTGTCTCTCTCTCAGAGATGAGCCTCTGACACGACGGAGGGCACCTTGCTGGTATTGCTCTCCTCCTCTTGGACTTTCTAGAAGGCAAAGAAAACAGGAAGCCCTGTAATTAAAACACACACATCTCCTCCACCCTGGCTGAAGCAGATCGCTGTCCATGAGGGATCAGCGTGAGTACAAGAACAAGAGGCCACCTACTGTCCCCCCAGAGCAAATAAAAGGCACAAGGAAACAAGCAAGCAGCCCAACCTGAGTGTGCTCCCCCAAATACTGCCCCCCATCGTTACCACTCATCGGAGGGAGCAGAGCCAACATCCTGTCCTTGAAAGACCCCCAAGGTGGGCTGCCTTTCAGTCTGGGGAGACCCTCCCAAGGAACAGCGAGGCCACTTGTGCGGATGCAATCAGCAAGAGGTTTTATTCAGATACACAGGTACCTGGGGCGTCTTCGTCGCTCGGAGGACTAGCGCACCTTCAGGTTGGGGCAGTGGATTTTTTATAGGGTAGGGAAGCAGAAGCGCGGGTACAGAAGCGAGATGCATAGTTACAGGGTTTTGATTGGGCAATTCAAATAAGGCTCGGGTTCAAACTGAGTACAGTTCTGTGGTTTCCAAGAAATCAGATATGTATGCTGACTCGGCCTATCTAGGGTACAACTCTTCTTCTGGACCCCAAGTTCCCTGCTGGCAGTCCAGATGGTCGACCATAGATATCTTGTCTGGCTCAACGTCCCTGCCCCTAAGTTGACCAACGCCCTTATCTCTAAATTGAACTCCCCTGTCCTAGCTTTCAGTTATATTGCTCAAAAATTCAAACCTTGTAAAATAGCGTTATTGCTGCTGCTAACTTAAGGCTGCTAAGTAGGGGTCTTTCATTCTGACAGTTCTAAACTCACCTCCCATGCTCCAGGTTCCAGACTGGCAAGTCCCTCAGATCCTCCAGTTAGCCCCAAATGGGAGGTGGCCCCCAGGATGAGGTCCATTGAATGGACGCCATCGAGCAATTTTAAGACACCCTGTTTAATTGTATAGTTGAACTCAATGGCTCTGTGGTTATATGTATTCAGAGAGAAAAACCCTAGAGCAGCTTTTGGAAAGAACCAGTTTGGACTTGGCTTTTTGGGGAAGGGTATGGCATGGAATTCACTTACAGGAAGTCTCCTGGCTCACACTTGTTAAGTGGGTTTGGGATTAAGCATGGCCTGGGAATTCTCCCGTGGGGTCCCTGGTACATATTGCCAACTCGGGCAGTTGGCTGTCTTTTAATTGGCAAAAGGACCTCAGACACAGTACTGCAGAGCCAGCACTGCTCAGGATTCAGGGGAGT